TGTGTATGTTACCAGAAGTCATTAGAAAGCATTCTTCACCTGAGGAAGTGTACTGAGGAAGGAGGATGCGTTGGCGATGTCAATAGCTTCACGGATTTGTGCGTCATCGACGTCCTTGAGCCCAAGACAGATGTTGTCCCTAGGAAAAAGTGATTTCAGATATTAGTAGCGTTGTACTATAATAGAAGGGTCGTGCGCTAGTGTTAGCCATTCTACCTATGACTATGAAGGTAGTTCGATGCAATACAGACTTGAATCGTACCTAACAACAAGCTGGTCAGACTCCTTCCAGGGACAAATTTTCAGCGGATGTGCTGGGTTGGGTGCTTTGGCGTCAACGTCTATGAGGCGGATGCCAATGTTTCCGCACAGAGCGAATGTAAGATTCGTGGTCAGGGGGTCAAACTACTCTCCGAGAAAGATTTCAGCCAGTCTTAGTCCCAGGGGAAAATTTCAGTCAAGATCTGACGAGAGTTTCGACAAGTGTTCAAGGCTGTGGACACGATGGCGGGCTGGGGGCGGACGGTTGTTGTCAACGTTACTGGTGAAATAGCTAAGTGGGGTGGGGCCAAGTGCCCTCTTGCGGCCCTTCCACCAGTGGCGCTGGCAACAACAGCTCACATCCAGCGATCGCACCCACTACCTCCAGCGATAAATGTATGAATGTATCCCAAAAATAAATTCCAAGACTTCTCAGCTTGACGGGCAAATATTCCATGCACTCCGAGCGGCGAGCGTCAAGCGCCGCATAAATTGTGGAATTGGATTTGTACAGTTTGAAGACAGTCCCCGCGCTCGAGCAACTCGCAGGCATCCTTGTTTGTAAACGTGGTCCGGCCCTCAGTCACCTAGATTTCCTACTTTCGAGGATCCTCAGTAAGTGACGAAGGCACTGGGGCGCTCATAAGTAGCATTTCCCTCGCCTCCTTAGTTATTCCGCCCACCGAAACTCAATGGCTATTTCTTTTCACAATTTCAGTTTACACGACGTTTTGCGTTTTTATTTTGTCTTTTTATGGTATCAGCATTGAACGACGCGGAGAAACGGTTATTGAGCTAGGGCTGGCAAACATCCTTTGCTGGCATAAAACGAGCAGGTCCGGAAAACTCGCTCATAGAGGCCAGCATGTCTCTGCTCAAGTGATCTCCATAGTTTTCTTTCCTTGCTTTTTTTTTCTTCCCTGGATAGCTGTTAAGGGGTTTTAGGTTCGCAGTTGAGCGCCACTACCATAATACAGGGGGGGGGGGGCAAAAAAAAGTCACTTTGCCTCATTGACTTTCGAGGCGCTATAAGTTACACTTTATCAAATTCTGATCGGACATTTTTACTACCATATTGAAGAGCATATTAAGTACTATCACGACACTCCGCCACAGCCTTCTGGACGAACGCCATCGAGAGATTCTGGCACGCGACCGCGATGTGGTACCTGAGATCAGCGAACACAAAAAGCCCGGGGTAGTCGATCTATATACCGCCACCCCGTAGAGACCCCACCTTTGAAGTTCGCCGAACTAGGTCACTTGATGGTCAGAGTCACGGACAATACTCAATATTAAATCTTTCTTCAGGTACGAAACCCCTTCCCATTTGCGAGATAAAGCGGGAGTTTTTCAAACCCCTTTGCAATTACCATGTGGTGGCAACCCAAACTGTAGCCGCACAAGGCTCCAAAGAAAGGTACGGGCTAACAACCCATGTAGGAGGATATTCATTTTGTTTTTTTTTTTTTTTTTTCTCGAATTACTTGATGTAACCGCCCTAACCTTCAGTCGGCCCGGTTTACAAAGAAAATATCGGTCTTCCCTTTCCAGACCAACGGGCCGCCATCCATCAACTCGGCCTCGGCCGAGTACGGAAAATGATGTCCTAACCGTTAGCGACTTGCCGTATCTGCTATGTGGAGGTCATATGAGATCAGATACTGAACATCATCAGGCTACTTATATGTGGATGACTTCATTCAAAGAATTTCGGCAGCTCTGGTTAGCGACGTGAATTCCAAAGTGGTGTTATCCCAGTCAGGCCGCGAGATGACTTCATATTATTGGACGTACTGAGGCGATTGGGCGGCAGCCTGTGCTCCAGCTTATAGAGGAAGATCTTGGGTATCTTCCACTCTGGTACTCATATCCACTTCCCCTGTCTGGGCTGCGAAAACTTCGTTGATATGTGGCTCGGCCGAAATGACTTTTTTGCCCCCCCCCCTGTATAATACGATCGCGGGGTTCGTCTTCAAGCGTCTTGCACCGATATTGTACTATTACTGGGGCGGGAGTTTTACCTCTGGCTAGAATTTGTAGGGTATCGTAACTCTCATCACGTCTAGGGAGGGTCGAAAGGGTGTTCGAACACGTATGTTTTTGTTACACCTCTCGCCTGTACTCTTAGCACTCTTCGAGAAATAGTTTCCTTCTGATATCTGAGAAAACGCCATAACTTCTGCTTAGTTTCAGTACCTTTGTCCGCTCACATAAGAAAGGACTTCAGTTTACCTTATAGAGCCAGCGAAAAGCCTAGGTTCCTGACCAACTAGGGCTACTTGCGACCTGAGGTGACTCAAACACAATCTTCGAACATCTTGTCCATCGAAGCGCTGAAAGCTTCCACAACTATATGCACAGAGATTCTTCAGAAAGAAGGAAATAATCACCACTGCGCCAGACGTGGAATCGTAGAATCGTTCCAGCAACGCTATTACAGTGCTTTTGCCTGATCCTGATGGCCCAACTAGCGCTACTGTTTGTCCTTTTTGCACTGTGAACTGCAGACCGCGCATAATAGGTTGATGTGGTCTTTGTGGATAAGAGAAATATACGTCTTCAAACAGCAAGTTTCCACGGATTACCTAAAGTAGTAGTGAGATAGAAGAAGGTTGAAATGAAGTCATAGCTGAAAAAAAATGCGGGCAAGAAAAGGTATCTATGGGTTTTTGGCGTTCTTAAGCTGTTGCGGCGTTTTCAAAATACGGCGTTAGTTTTTTCAGTATAATAGTAATTATCAATTTTTTTTCTGATGAGGAACGTAGTCAAATCCCGATTGCTAGTTCGGGCAGCATTATTTCGTGTCTAATGGCACTCTCTTAATCCAGTAGTCAATATGAAGGCCCGGTTCGCGACAGGAGCGCTGTTAATGGTTTCGCAGTATGGAAGAGAATTTGCCAAGGGACTCCTCTAAAGAATAAATGCAAAAGGGAACTCCGACAACCCCCGTAACAGGACGCCTCTATCCTCCACTATCATACAAGCACAACGCGAAAACAGCGCTCGTGGGACGAATCCAGTTAGCCGATACCTCATTATGACCCCTACGACCCCACAAGGACAGTGGAGCCTCCATTACACATTACTCGTGCGGCTGGATCGCTTTTTGCAGTAAGGCAAAATTCGAGGCAGAACCTGGAGGCGGAGTCACTGGAAAAAGGGAGGTGTCACTGGAGCAACCTAACGACTTAGCGCCTTTACCTTACTACTTACCCGGCATACTGTTGCCAAATTGTCCAATGCGGACCACACTACCCTTCCCACGAAATTTCTGCATTTTCATAGGCCATCGCAGGTAGCTCCTTCGAATGCCAAAACGTAAAGGGCAAGATCGTGCAGAGCATAATTCAGAGAACGCAAATGGAAATTCCAAAATCTGTTTCGACTATTTATTAGTGAACGGTGACAGGAAGAAAGCCTGGACTTGGATACATTGACTTGTTAGGCTGCTTAAAAAATATTTCATAAAGCAATGACTTGAGCTGTATATCTCACCGGACGCTCTCCCACATTGATATCACCAGTCTTCGGTCGTCGATTAATCATGTTGAACAACATTCCGGCTGCCGTTCGAGCTTTGGTGAATTCTGGGAAGAATGACGACGAGTTCATTATTGCCACACAAGCCAGTAACACAGAGAAAACAGCTCTGAAAGCAAAAGCCTCGTTACAAGCAGTTGGGCGAGCTGGAAATAATCTCGAGGTTCATGGGCATGAATAGTTAGCGCGGGCGGCTTTTCTGAACATAACACCTTGGTTCGCTACTTTGGAGGAATGAGGAGGGCCAACTTAAAATCATCATAGACCTATTCGCAGAGCACAAGTGAAAAAAAAGATCTAGTTTCTACTATAGATTCCTCGCTAGTTGTTGCAAATTCAACCGTAGCTCCTAGGCACATCCTGCGCCACAGCCCCTGCGTGCTCGTCCGCCGCAGCACCCCTTGCTGCACATCGCACCAGCTTTGGTGGGGCATATCACTGGTTGGGATTTTGGTCGAGTCCGTATGACCCACCCCCCCCCCCTTTTTTTTTCGGGGGGATTGGTACGACTCAGCTCCCTTTTACAACGTCCGTGAAGCGAGGAAAACCAAGCTCGAGAAAAATCAACATAATCAAAATAAGTTTTTCTCAGCCCAAATACGACCCCCCCTTGCGGCGACCAAATACGACCCCCCATTGGGGATCCCCAACAATGATGTGCCCTGCTCTGCGGTCGATGTCACCCATGTCCTACGGCTGGCTACTAACGACCTTTCCACGGGGCGATGTAAAAATGTTACACGTTCTCCATGGTGTCACCCGAAAACAAAAGGGGTCGTGCCTCCTTGGCTTTATAGGTGATAGAGTGAAGAACTGATCAAAGTCTCCCTTCCACTTCTCGAAAGGCAGTGACCCGTATACTGCCTTGTTAAGATATTGTTGACTCTACGGAGCGCGAAGAATGCCGCCAACCCTGAGAAAACTGCGTAAGCCAGCTGCTGAGCCAGCTCTGGTGAGTCGATCCAGGGAACCAGTATAGCGGGTTGCTGGTATAATAGAAACGCTTGTGCGCAATATACAACCATGTTTTAATATTTGGGTACTAGGACCGTTACGTAGGTTATCCCTGCGCACTCCTTGTGTTCTAGGCCATGTGTGGGGGAGGCCAAACAGCCTGCTCTTTCCCTTCTTGGTGGCTCGGGTGGTTGACAAAGGGTAAAATCCATGGCACGTGACGCAGCCGCAGGCGGGAGAAGATCGGTGCGACAGCTTGTGTATTCAAGAGAGTATGGGGAGGGTACACGCTGCCTAAGCTGCCTAATCATTCAGTCTGGTATCGATCAGCACTGGCCCCCAGGGTTCGAAAGAGAAAAGAAGATAGGGAAAGTATCAGATGCTTTACACGTTGCGCATGCCCTCCTCTTATCCTATATCCTCTTGCAAGAGAAGCGCTCGGCGGCAATCGCTCCCGGCTGCAGCTGCGTTCGCGTGCATAGGATCGGAGTACTGTTACAGTATACGCGTTGCAGCACGTCATCGCGCATTACAGCGGTTCGACGCACCCTCCACTGCAGTTACTAATGACTTGGCAATGTTTGTAAATAAAGATTCTACCTGTAGATGTCTTGTGGGTCTACATGCAATCGAGTGATTATCGGTATGCCAACAGCGTAAGCACCCGCTAAGGAGTAATATACAAATGATTGTGTCAGAGCGAAATTGACCGCTGAAGAGGAGTTATTGCGAAGCGAATCTATTTGTATATGTTATACTCACCCTCATAATAGCCTTTTGACATTTCACTTCTTTTTTGCTGTTTCGACGCTTTTTCGTACTTATCATAGAAATATCGCTCCCGAGTAAGTAATTGTATTGTTCGAACGTTTTCGATAACTTCGATAGAGAGCTGCAACAGAACTAATTAACTCACTATTACAAGAACAATACTAAACGCTAAATCATCTGACCTTGCCTGCTTGATTCTCTCTCATCAACTGCAGGTTTCTTTTCTGAATAGTTCGTGCGAGAATGACCATAGTTACACCAAGCGCAGCGCTGAAAGTGTTGCCATTAGCTACTAATTTCGCCCTTGAAAAATTACTTCAAGCCTTCGTTGTTGAGCGACCCCGCCCCATTTTCCGTATTTCTAGATTTGCGAGTAAAGTCAGTTCTACCTTAGAATAATTCCCGTTAATCCAATATGCCATGATGACGAGATAGCGATAATTATACAGATCATCCAGGCTGTCATATTGAAGATGACGTACATCATCCGACCATCCACAACCTGAATTTTTTTCAGAAGTTCAGCACATTCAGCTTTCCAGGAATATATACAGTCCGCCCAATAAGAATATGATTCAGCTGCGCTCGTATCGACTCAATAATTATGACTCATGTTGCCTGGAGGGGGTGTGCCCACGAACTTGGTTGCGTGCGCGGCGGCTGCTGCCCACGGAAATCAGGAAAAGGTACACTGCGCAAACGTCCACTTTTTCTTGTGCCGGCGCCACTCTCCTATGCGCGCTGTCTACGTCTGTGCAGGACCGGTAGACTGTCTACACATGAGCAACCGCCCTTCTGGCGGTTCCCGTTCGGAAGGTACATCTGGCGCAGCCCTTTCCAGGAACCGTGGTATGAGTCGTGAAAGTTTAAATACGCTAATAGTGCCTCATAAATCTCAGTCGAAGGAAATAAAAACTTACCGCTTTCACATTAGGTGCATCTGCTGCAAGTCTAGTGATAAGCCGTCCAGGTGCATGTTGAGGGTTGTCGAAGTAGGCAGCATCCTTAAAAAGATCCACGGCACACTTTACAGTCATCATCGTAACCATCATGTAATCTATTTTTGAGGATAGTAGATCAAGATGACTATTCGAAGTAGGATGATTGATTAAAATTGGAACGCTGCCTACAGAGCTTCCTTCCGTATGTGCTGAACCTTTCTCTACACCAAGTTATGTATTTTTTAATAGACCAGACTCGTGCTCCACATCTATCTGAGACTTGAGTGAGTGCCCAAATTCCTTGAATTCTGAAACCTTCGGCTCTCTGGAGCGTTACAGTATATTAATGAAAACATTATGCCCGCGTTTTTGCTTTGATGCCAATGTGAGCGACCCTGATCCCATAGGGAGCGAGGATAGCAGGAGCACAACTGAAAAAATATACACAGCCGATGTCCATAACAACTGTAAGGATTCAAACCCTTGGACACAGTCATGGGCAAACGTGAGTTTGATTGCCTATCCTCTGGGCTATCGAAAAAAACGGGTTTCTAGGGTCATATCTCTATTCAAATGGTCACACTGACGAACTATTCCTTCCCGGCGAATGTTTTCTCTGGAATATCCTTCCATTGCATTGAAATGCGGTTTTCGTTAGACGCGAACCGAGTTAAAATAATTAATTAGTTACCTGATACAGTATGTTGGAAAAGGCCCTTGTACGGAAGGATAGCGTGAGTTGTTCAGAAACTCTGCCGAATAGAATTGACTGAAATAAGGCCTCTTGAAGTGAGAGCTATGCATAGAAAGACGTACAAATGTCCAACCGTTATTGGTGTAAAAGCGTTGCGCAGGACATTCAGTTAGAAGAGAAAGACGTTGTTGTTGCTCACCCGCTTCAAAAACTATTAAAGAAGGGGTTTAGCGCTGCGCCAGACACATCACTCCATTCGCAGCGAGCACGACCGCACATATATTTTTATACTACCTGTTTTTATTTACACCCACTGGTCAGGGAGCTAAAGACAAAATGTACCCCCACCTAACTGGATCCTATTCCTTGCCATGTGTTAGGGGAATAGGTCGCACCTGCAGCAGCGAGCTACTTTCTCCAGTCAGGATGCGCGAAGACGAGTTGGAGGGCAGCGATGCCCGAACGCCGTCTCCATACTCCGCCTCGCTAAAACACGACCAACCAGGCGCCTAGCCATATGCAGACGCGCTACTTGTCTGCGCCCTCTCACTTCTCAGTGTTCTCTAGGTCTGTGTGCGTGTTTGCTGGGAAACCTCACTGTCGACGCAAGAGCTGCACATCAAGGATAGCTCGCGTGGAGTACGGAGGCGGTACTCGGGAACCGTTACCCTACATCCCTGCTGCCGTGCAAGAAAGTGGCACGTTACTGCGGCTGCGGGCCCATTCGCTCCGCACACGGCAAAGATCGCCCTCGCAGGTCAGTGTGTGTACAGTATGTCTTGAGTATTACTCCTCCTGAGAGAAAAAGTGAGAAGAGTAAAAACGATAAACTCACCCCGCTGAGTTGAAAAAGGAATGTGCCAACGCCAATACATACGTATACAATAAGGCAATACACCAAAGTGATCATCATCTTCGACCGATCATCAGCGAAATAATTGAAAGCTTGGAATACCTTAACAACGCTTTCATAACCATCGTTCTTGATTATCATTTTTGATAAGGTTTTAATTAAAATTTCAAATTACTTACCATTGCATGAGCCATAGACATTGATGGCAGTTCAAGTCCACGTATTGCTGCACAAAGAACTGCTAAAGCCATTGTACCATATTGTCCTTGGGCGTTTCGGAATACTGTCGTCAAACCGCCAGTGATTTGACCGTCCTTAACACAGTCACTTAGGAGTTGCTTTCATCGTGCACACTCTGCCGTGCAAACGTTTTAAGGAGATCACCTACACCTCTAGGCATTCTTCGATGGTAGCGCCCAAAATGGCCTTCGTATAAGAATTGGACGTTGTAAAATCAGTAAATCGTAGTAGAAGAAACGCGCTGTGACATGTACTGTCACTAAAGAGGTATAGACGTTGCGTAGGGCGAATCGATGAGCTCCCCAGAATCTAGTAGGAATTCGAAAAGTGAACGAGAATCAGCTCCTTTCCCTCAATTGCTAAGTTTCCTACTCCTGAACTCCAGTTTGAAACATCATTGTGGGGAAACTCCAGGGCAGGGTAACGCTGACAGGACCTGCTTGCTGAGAATGGACTCCACCTGTACGTAAGACCAACAATATTGCTTTTGCGGGTAGACAGCACACTCACATCAAGAAGGCTTGTCACGGTCGTGCCCAATGTCTGCTTCAAACTCCGTTACAGGCATCCACGTTATACTTCCGATTCAAGATGACCTCCATCCAGCTTGCTCGCCACCCAGAATGGGGTTTATTCCACCAGCTCGTACCGCCTACAGTTGAGCTTTGCCTCACACTCCGATCAGTGGCAGTGAGTGGCCTTACAAGGAAACTACAGCAGGTCGATCCGGTCATTTGCAACAAGGTGTGCATCGTTGAATGCACCTCGAAACGCTAAATTACAAGCTCTTTACCGAATTTGCGAGGCTAGTATCTGAATTGAAATATGAAAGTTTTCCTCGCGCTTTCTCCATAAGGCTGTCTTTTCGTGTTTCTCAAAAGGGTAGTTGGACCACCCAAGCGGCTGAAGACCATGGGTAGTGTGGGATGCTCAGCAGATGTGGCGGTTTTCAAGCCTTTCGGTAGTTACGGTCAATAGCCGGTTGGAATTATTGTGAAATTTAGTGAAGAATAGTTTTGAGGTACAATAACCAAACTATACAGTCTGATGCTCACCTTCTCCATATCAGCTTTCACTTCTTCTTCAAACAGAGCGCTTTCTGGGGTTACTGTTATTTGCTCGGCTGATGACATGATGAAACTGCTCCGACTGTAAAGTTATGCAAGTCTACCATTCAACATTAACGTTGACAAGGGAAGAACCTACCTGAACGAATCTTGCGCCATCACCCCTCTGACGAATGCCGCTTGGCCGAGAGCAAGAGTTTCTGAGCTTTTACGGCACAATTCTCCTTGTGGAACCTCACTAGAATTACAATTCCTTTCTTCATAAAGTGGCTACACTAGCTCACAGGGGAGCGACCAATAAAAAGATTTTTGTACTCACTCTTCATCCACCTTATCTTCAGGTGGTAGATTTTCATCGGCTTCTGGTTGAAATTGCTGAGCCCGAACCAAATCGGCGTACCGTCCGCCTAATTTAGTTAATTCTTCGTGTGTACCTGCAATACATAGTTACACTGGGATAATCGGTAATTTCAAAAATTCACCAGTATACCCTGCTCAACTATTTGTCCCTTGTCGAATACTGCAATCTTGTCAGCGTTTCGGACGGTAGAGAGGCGATGAGCTATAACTATCGTAGTTCTGCCCGCAGACGCATTGTCTAACGCTTGCTAAACCAAGAAGTTATGGTAATTACAGCACGACGCTTTACTGAGTGGCTTAGAAGTTTACCTGAACGACGCTCTCACTGTTAGCGTCTAGTGCAGATGTGGCCTCATCTAGGAGAAGAATCCGTGGATTTCGCGCTAAAGTGCGAGCAATCGCAATACGTTGCTTCTGGCCGCCTGATAACTGTACAGCACCTTCTCCAATAAGAGTAGAGTAGCCCTTGAACAATTTTCGTGGAGGATCTGTGAACTGCTAATGTCCACCATCACATACGAATTGGGCGGGGGTAGCATCATTGGGACTGGAACCTGACTAGATTCAAAAAATTTACCTTAGGAAGCTTCATTATGAAATCGTGAGCATTCGCTAGTTTGCACACCTGTACCATTTCCGCTTGAGAAATTTCCGGGCTGCCGACTTGGATATTTTCCTGAAGTACTATTTTCATTTCTGAAAAAAAATTTTGGGAACCTTGAAGTCATTCTTCTTTCTAAATGCAGGCTATTTCAAGAGAACTCGAAGAATGTTAACTCAGCGCTTCCAGTCAAAAGCTCCATATTTTACCTTCATGATCCATGCAAATGAGGGGGCATGTGACGCAGCGCGTGTTGCGCCGCCGTCAAGGGGGGGGTCTTTATTCCAAAACACATCTGTGCCGCCACTTTTGGTGGAAAGTCTGGCAGCGAGCCAAGCCATCCGTTTCAGGCGCAGAGATTATGACTGCAAACGTAGCAGCAGCTAGTCACAACCTTGCCTGAGACTAGCTATTTCAGTAAACTTAGGGTGCGACATTTCAGTTTCAATAATAACCATCACTAAATGCCACTTTATTTCATAAATTTCAACGTCTCACCTCGATAGTGCCATTGAATAAGGTTGGTTCCTGTTGGACTATTCCTACCGTATTACGGAGCCATTCCATATTCACATTTCTCACGTCGTTATCATCAATCCTGACCTAAAATCGTGGGATGCCCCTCAGAATACAGGATCTAGAGCCCTGTTACGGTATTCATACACCCACAGTGCCTGATTCTGCTTCATATAGTCTTGTGATAAGTCCGACCGCTGTGGATTTTCCGCATCCACTGTGGCCGACAAAAGCCACAGTCTGACCGGCTGGGACTTAAAGGTTGAGCCCGTTGAGCACCTGAATGGATGAAAGTATAGAAGGTGAAGCTATCGCCGCAAACCAACTCCTCGATTGGACGCGCCGCATCCTTCTTCGATTTAAAATCGTACTGATACGGTCCGCGATAAGGAGCGAGGTAGATAGTGAGTGTTGAATTTTGAAAAAAAAAAGTTGCCAAGTGGCTCGACTGTGAGAAGGGATTCCAAAGGGGACGTCGGAAACTTCTTTGATAGGACCCTGCCTAGCCTCAAACAGTTGTACGGGTAAAAGGTCAAAAGACCACGTGTTGGGGCGAGTTCTCATGGGCTATTCCTTGGAAGAAACCCTATGACTCAACAAGAAACAATGGAGCTACTTGTCTGGGCAGCATCGCTTTTGGCTGGGATGCGAAGCTTCAGGCGGAGTCTGGAGGCGGAGTTACCGGGAAAAGGAGGCGTCACTGGAGTAACTTTGGCAACGTCTTTGCCTTACAACTTTCTACTGTGAAAATGGCCCAAGGTCTTCCGTCGCTCAGCACACTATCCTTCCCACACAAGCTTTTGCATTTGCGTGGGTCATCGCGGACCCCTCCGCGGTTTGCGATCACCCCTCCCTCCCCCGCCGGAGTAATGAAAGGCTTTTCTGGGCTGGACGGGGGGGGGGATGCGAGACTTGATCCCCAGGCTGTGATGGGGCAGACAGCGTCACAGCTAACAAATTGTTGACGCATGCCAAAGCTCCCAAAGAGAAG